TGTGTGTGTGTGTGTGTGAGTGCATGCACTTGTGCACACATGCATGTGTGGAGATGGGGAGAGAGAAGGAGAGAGACAGAGATATACTTAATTTATGAACCTTTCCTCTCTCTGGTTTCTCTCTGCACCTTGAAAGTAGAGAAACTGCTTTATACCTTTGAAGCTTGGTACACAGAAGACTCATGCTTGCTAATAGGATTCTGATCATAAAGACAGAAATGATCATGATGAAACTTTAACTTGTTTATGGGGAAAAAGCCTCTTACTTCAAACTTGGCAAATGTACTCTTCTGCAAAATGAGGGGTTTTAGATTATAGAACTCAAATATTTAAGTAGGAGAGACAGTGCCATCTAGTGTAAAACTTATTTTACTTTTTCTTTGGAAGTGACTAACCATCTTCATTTTATATAACCCTAGCATTTTAACATAAAGTCAGTGGTCGTGGCTGTTCTGAAGTTCTGTTAGGATTTCGATATTTGGAACTCCCCAAACACAAATACTCATTTTAGAAATATAGTGAAAACTATTCAGAAGGGACAAACATTCCATTTTTAAGCAAGGTGTTTGCGAGAATCCACTCATTCAAGTGTTGGCATAAGCTCATGGTAGGTGGGATGGGTCTGGGTGCCAAAGACATCACAGCGAATAATCCAAAGTTCCCCCACTTATGGGACTTAACTTTTTTTTATTTTTTGGTTGAGAAACCAGGAAAAGCAAATAAGAAATAAGATACATTTTTGATTATAAGAAACAATGAAGGATGATGTTGGGGAAGGACAACAGGGGGTAGGGTTGGCCACTCTGAGGTGGTGACATTTAAGTTGAGCAAGGAGTCAAGAGCTGTAGAAAGAGCTGCCACTAATAACAGAAGCCATGGGCAGGGTCCTCCTGGGATGAAGCACTTGAAGGAAGCAGTGATCATCTGAGAGGGGGTCCCAGATTGGATGGGGGTTGCAGACCATGACAAAGAGCAGGTATTCTACCAAAGGACTTAAAAACAGCATACTACAGGGACACAGCCACATCAATGTTTATAGCAGCACAATTCACAATAACTGAACTGTGGAACCAACCTAGTTGCCCTTCAATAGATGAATGGATAAAAAAATGTAGCATACATACACAATGGAATATTACTCAGCAATAAAAGAGAATAAAATCATGGCATTTGCAGGTAAATGGATGGAGTTAGAGAAGATAATGCTAAGTGAAGTTAGCCAATTCCAAAATACCAAATGCCGAATGTTTTCTTTGATATAAGGAGGCTGATTCATAGTGGGATAGGGAGCAGGAGCATGGGAGGAATAGATGAACTCTAGATAGGGCAGAGGGGTAGGAGGGGAAGGGAGGGGGCGGGAGGAAGCGGGAGGTTATTAATGATGGTGGAATGTGATGGTCATCATCATCCAAAGTACAAGCATGAAGACACGAATTGGTGTGAATATACTATGTATACAACCAGAGAAATGGAAAATTGTGCTCTATATGTGCAATAAGAATTGTAATGCATTCTGCTGTCATATATAAATAAAAAATAAAAATTAAAAAATATAGAGATTTCAGGGAAAAATTCAACCAAAATGTATGTACTGAAAAGCAAGAAAAAGTAAATATTCAAAGATTTTGATTAAAAAAAAAAGCAGTAGGTGTCATGAGAATCCACTGGGGCATTTCAGGGAAAGCAGGAGCACAATCTGATTTAAGTTTGCGAATGTTTGGGCAGCTTGGTAGAGCACACTGCAGATGCTCTGTGGAATTAGATCCACTAGAAGGACGTCCGGAAGGCAGAGGTTAAGGGTCTTGGTGACAGCCATGGGGATGAGGTGCTCTGAGATGTATTTTGAAGATGGAATGGAATGGATGTGGGAGATGTGAGGACACAGACAGAAGGAAAAAGTGCAAGGACAGAGAGAGAGAATCAGGTATGAATGGAGTTTGGGACTTGAGCCATTTATTGAGATAAAGAAGATCTGGGGAGAACAATTTGGAAGCGGGTGGTGCTGTGGTTTGAATGTGTCCCCCAAGTTCTGTGTTAAAACTTAATCCTCAGATTCATTTGTTGCTGGTATTTTGTGATGGGTCTAATGGGCCTTTGGGAGATAATTAGGGTTTGATGAGGTCATGAGAGTGGGGTCTCAGGATGGAACTAATGGCTTTATAAAAAGAGAAAGACCAGAGCTAGAGGCTCTCGTTCTTTCATCCTGTCACCATGCAGCAGCCCAGCCCTCACAGATGTCCCTTCATTCTGGACTTTCCAGACTTCAGAAACTGTGAGAAATACATTTCTGTATAAATTACCCAGTCTGTGGTATTCCAATATGGGAACACAAAACAGCCTAGAACAGGTGGGTGGTGGGAGAGAGACATCCAAGCACTTCTTCACTTATTAGGTTTTTTATGGAGTGCCTTTTCTGTGCCAGACATTCTCAAACTCTGGGGACATAAGCAGGGAGCAGGACAGAGATCTGTGCTTCTGTGGAACTTGCATTCTTTTTAGAGGGGAAGATAATTAAATAAACAAGTATAGAGTTATGTAGAAGGTGATGCTGGCTCTGAAGAAAGATCAGGCAGGAAAGGAGAAGGGGAATGTTCAGAGAGTTTTACATAGGGAAATCCTTCCCAGGTCTGTGACATTTGAGTAAAGATCTGGAGGAATGTTGGAAAACAAACTAGATGGATACAGGGGAAGAGGAATCCAGGCATAAAGAACAGTAAATGCATCAGCCTCGAAGCGTGGCTGTGCCTGGGATGGTGAGCAAAACAGAGACAGTAAGAAATGAGAGCTGTCAGGGTGGGAGGAGAGCAGATTCCGGGTTCTGTTAGGCCTGGAATGCCATTGTCATGGCCTTGGCTTTGTACGGAGAAAACAGGAAGAGAACAGGAGGCAGCTCTTCAGCAGGGAGGTGACCTGGTCTGACTTCACTTTAACAGTAGCGTCTGGCTGACATTTTGAAAACAGAGGAAAGAGGGAGAAAGAGCAGAAAGAGGGAGCCCCATACAGAGGCCTCAGCAATGGTCCCGGCAAGACCACAGAGTGACTTGGACCAGAGGTAAAGGTAGCCATGGATTTGATGACTCTAGTGACACATTTTTTATTAAATCGTATATGACCTTCCCAAAGATAGGACAAATGTTAGGCATTGCACCAAGTTTGTTGTTTTTTTTTTTTCCCTGAAAATTGATCCCATCACAAATCTACTCCTGAATTAAGATAGAACACCAACGCACAGATCCTTAGTCATGACCTGTGGTGAGTTCATATCCAATTTAGTGTAAAATGGGCAACTTCCCTGTGAATATAGAGACCTGAGAACCTTCTTTCTCTCCAGATCTATGATGGGGAGAGTGAAAACAACCGTTTGGCCGCAACGTTCTGTGGTTCCACCATACCTGCTCCTTTTATCTCTTCCGGTAACTTCCTCACAGTTCAATTTGTCAGTGACCTGACTCTAGAAAGAGAAGGATTTAATGTTACATATACCTTCGTGGACAGTGAGTAAATTGAGATTATTTTTAAAATATAGGTTATGAAATGCATGTGTATTTATGTACTAAAAATAATGCATTCTCATTAAGTTTACACTCAGGTACTAAACTTAATGTTAATTACACTCTTGGTTGATTACTGAACTCATGTCATTCTCTCTGTCTTTAATTAATAGTACAAATTTGCTAATCTTTAATCAAAAATGAATATCTCAAATTTTTAATAGAAAGATGTCCTATCTCTCCTTTGGGCCAGCAGGGTAGGGAAAGCAGAATTTTAAAGACTCTGTGTGAGGAGACAAGAGTGAAATATCTCCTATGTTGTTTCTTTCCTCCCTCTTCAGTGCCTTGTGGTGGAACATACAACGCAACTTGGACCCCACAAAATACTTCGTCACCCTATTTATCAAACCCGAGTGTTCCATTGTCCACCTGTACTTGGGTCATTGAAGCCCCTCCCCACCAGCAGGTGAAGATAACTGTGTGGGCACTTCAGCTACACTCGCAAGACTGTGCACAGAACTACTTAGAGGTTCAGGACTTGCCAGAGGTAATGATTATGGACTGGATTACAGTTGCATCCAGTGACCTTGCCACTAGTATTTGCAAAACACTCAATCAAGCCATGAAGGCATGATTCAATAAATCCTCAAAGTTACTTTCAGCATGATGTTTTTCAGCCAGACCCAAAGTTCAGGTGAAGAGGAACACTTGAACTTGGTTCTGTAGGTCAGGTACTTTCAAACATCAAGATGCCTAAGAATTACCTGGGCATCTTGTTCAAGAGGCATACTGCCCAGGGCCAACTTCTGAGATGGATTCCTCCACATAGTACCCATGAATCTAAATTTTTGATGGACATCTCTGGTGTCCTGAACTCCATGAGCCACACTTAGAGAAACTCTTCTAGTTAGTAGTATCTGTGTTTAGGATGGCCAGAAGGAATTCACCCAGTACACAGGAAAATAGGCCAAGAAGCCATTTCATGCCATGTCAGTAGCACTGTATTTGTGGTATTATGAGACAGAAGAGAGAGAGAGAGAGGAGAGAGAGAGAGAGAGAGAGAGAGAGAGAGAGAGAGAGAGAGAGAGAGAGAGAAACTCATTTGCTTAAAAAAAAGGAAGAAAAAAAAAAGCTTAGTCTTACTTTCCCATGAGCAAGATGTTGGGCTGTCTTTGCACTTTCAAGAGTGACTGACTTGTTCATTCCAAGGGGATTGTTCAAATCCCTTTGGGCTGGCAGAAGTAAAATCCCATCTGTCACCTTCTGAATTTTCAGTCATCTTCACTATAAAGTCATCTTCCCTGTCTTAGTGGGGAGTCAGTTTATCTGACTGTACTGTGAAGAGGTCCAAGTTGTGCAGGCAGCTGAGTAGAAACCAGATTTCCTGATTTTGTGCAAGTCTTAGACACTGAAATTAGTGCTGTGCTCCCATGGTAGCCGAGACATGGGATCATCATTTCATTTCATTTCTGATGGTTTCTGGACCAAATTCCTATTCCCCCGTGGGAGTCTCACCAGAAGGGCTTATAGCCAAGTGAGATAAGATCCTTTGGGTATAAAAGCTCTTTGGATTTCCCATTGCTTTATGAAGCTGAGTCAATGGGGAACAGAGAAGACCCCCTCAACTAGACACAAAAATAGCATGAACAGGGCACAAGGCAATTATGGAACTTGTTGGCAGCTGGACTTGCCTCCAATAAGACCGTCTCATTCCTCATGACTAAAAAACTCAGGGTCACTCCAGGTGAACTGGGCTATGTGAAATAATCACACAAGAGACAGAGATACCTTTTTCTTTGGGTCCTGTGATGGCTCCTCTGACATTAGGGGTCTGTGGAGAGAGAGAAAGAGAGAGAGAGAAAGTGCTGAACCCTTTTGTGGGGGAGAAGCTATTCAAATGAAGCAAGGGGTCAGGTTTCAGGCAGTTGAGTATAGCTTGGAGATGTCTACTGTCAGCAAATTGACTGACAGCTAGGAAGGCAATTCCCAAAGGCAGAGCAAGAGAAGGGGACACACAAAGGGAGCTTCCATGGAACAGTCTATCCCAAAAAGGGTAAAGGGGTAGGATTACAAAGGAACAGGTGAGTGTAGCTCAATCCCAGGGGTGCGCCTACTCAAAAGACTGGCCTTGCTATTGGAGTGGGGAAAAAGAGTCACAAGTCATGGCACAATGGCACCAGACTACAGTAATCTTTCAGATCCCCGTGGTGCATCAGGACTGGAAGGCATGGTTACTCAATGTGGCTCCCCACAATACCCAATATTAGTCGCAACTGAATAATGTCCTTCAATTGAATGAATAAGGAAAGGACAGGGATTTCATCCTAGGTAGGTAGAGAGGAAGGATTTAAAAAAAAAAAAAGAAGAAGAAGAATGGTGATGGGCTGGGAGAAATTGGAACTCCAAGCTCTCCAAGAGTAGAAAGAGAACCCTAATTGGAAGATTGTCAAAGGGTTCTATGGTGGAGGCATAAGAGAAGATGGAAGGTATGCTGTTGGCCTTCGGGTAGAAAACTACAGAGAGTGGAGATGAACATCACTGGTTAAGAAGTTCAAAGTGAGATTTGTTTAATGAACTGTCTATAAAATCACCCAAACCTCTACAAGTTCAGAAAGGAACTGGGGTGCAAAAATTACTTGTGATAAGATACCACAAATCTTTAATAAATGAAGGGAAGTAACCAGGAGGAAAGTAAATAAAAATGATGAAAAGGGTCAGAGAGTCTCTTTGGCCACATGTAGAGACTTTCTAAAGAGGACCTGAGGTGAGGACAGATGCTGCAGTGAGGAACATGAAGAAATGCTCCCCCACCCCTCTCCTTCACTTTTACTCAATGAATTGTGGAGAATGGAAAAGGAATGACCTCCCCTAGGAGGCGCTGGAAACCCAGGTTTCACTTTTAAGACCACAAAATGGAAAGGCGAGAGATGTAGACAGAGGGTGGTTAATAATGCAGCCAAAGTACAGAGAATACAGCAGGCAAAGCTAGGAAAGGACCAATAGCAGCAGGCAGTGGGTGGGATGGGGGTGGGCATAGAAGCCCAGATCAGTAACAGGAGTCTGCAAGCTGGGGTGGAGCAAGCACCTTCAGTAGGTGCCCAAGAACTGCAGGTATGAGAAAGGTACTTATCACTGGGAGGCTGCCAGCATCCTGATTTTGGTACAAGTTGGTTTTGTGCAAAATGGATAGGTGTTTGACTGCATTTACCCCATGCTTTTGAAAGGGAATGTGGGTTGCCCGAGTCTTATAAAAGGAACAGTGACCTCCTAACAGGCACTGGCTACATTGGGGGAGTCAGTATTGCCAAAGGGTCTGCTTAGGTTTGCTGTGAGGAGCAAGGACTGGATCAGGGGAAGGGTTTGAGTCTTATGGGCCCAGGATAGTGGGAAAGACTTGAGTAGGAGACCTGCAGTGAGCTCAAACACCGGACTCTGCTCAGAACAAGGAAACAGGCCTCAGCTGTGACATAACCTGGGAAGGGAGCAGTCTTGATTTCTGCAGGGAAATGTCTGTCCATGGTTTCGGCAGGCACTTGGCCCCCATCTCCCATCCTTCCAGGAGAGTGGGTATTTGTCAAGTCCAAGTTACTGGTAAGTCTGGCTGCAGAGTGCTTCAGAGACTAGAGCTGGGTTCCATGGCTGAATATGTAAGCCATGATTTTACAGTAGAGTTTCTGGTACAGCTGTCCTCTCCTGGAACTGAATCTGACACAATGTGGCTTCCATTCATTTCAGGGTGATGGAAGAGTCCATTTCTGTGGCAGAAATCTTACAGCTCTGCCCGAGTTTTATTCCTCCACAAGCACTGCCATGGTGGTTTTCAAATCTGAAGTTCTAAACAGCAACTCTAGAGTGAGCTTCACCTATCAGATTGCAGGTGAGTTCTGGAGCTTCCATCTTTTCTAAGGAAATATGGCTATGGGCACAATGACCACTAGAATTTAAGGTAACCCAAGCCCACAGGAGGTAAGACCCTTAACTAGAATCCAGGCCCAATTTAGCAAATTACTAAAGCTAGTTCCTGGTAACATAAGAGGAATACAACACTAATTGAAAGATAGTACAATAGAGTAATTGAAAAATAGACCAGTTATTGTATTAATTATCCACTGACAGCATACAGGAGTCACCATATATTTTCAGAAAAGCTTTATCCACATGAAATCCCCTGTCATACAATTCACCTATTCAAAGTTTACAGTCCAGTGAGTTTTAGTAGGTTCACAAAGCAGGGCATTGCTGTATCTTAGGAAGTGATTTTATAAAAACTTGAAAAGGATTACCTGTTACTATCAATGAGAAGCTTATTTTCAGAGACTTTATTATTTTGAACCTGATTAAAAGCTGCCTTTGAATCAAACAAACAATAAAAATGGGTATTATTTTTTTACTAAAAGGAACAATGATTTACTGTTCTAGCATAACAATTCAGTCATCAAAGAATTTAAAGGGAAATCCTCATGGAAATCTCTGCCTGGGAGGTAGAACCTTTGAGTCTAAAAAAGGGTCCAAGTGACAGCCACCAATACCTCACTGTGATCATAAAAGTTCAAAGGATACTAGGATGCCCTTTAAAGAAAGCTCTCATATTTTATACCCGCAATGGGGTGTTTGTGTTAAGGAGCCCCTGTATACATCTGTGGGATGCGTGGTTCATGTCGCCTCTCAGGTCTCAATTATCTCAAAGATAAATGAAGAGACTGGATTAGTTTCCCCTAAAATTTGTTCAGATTTAATGGTCTTTTAAAATTATTTCTGTCAAGTTGAAAGAACACTAAATATTTGGGGGCATGCATTTTTTTTTCTGAGATTTTTTTTTCTGTCTAAGACTGCAACAGACAATACAACAGAGCATTTGGCAATCTGAAGAGTCCTGGATGGCCTGATAATTATAATGATAACCTGGATTGCACTATAATTCTCACAGCCCCGCAGAACCATGCCATTACCCTCTTTTTTCATTCGTTTGATATCGAGGACTCAAGCAACTGTGCACATGATTTCTTGGAGGTAACATGCATTGGGGTGTCATTTGAACGATTATTTAAAAAGATGATGGATGGATCTCTTAGAATTTTCCACTTTTTTCTCTAGTGCTGCTAATATGCCCCTTGTTCATTTCACTAATTATTCATGTATCTTTCAGTTCATAAACATTTACTGAGCACCTTCTATTCCTGGCACTGGACTTACAACAAGAAGGAAAACATGAACCCTTCAGAGTCATGATCTGAAGGGAAAGACAGGTGGTGTTTTAAGACAAAAGACCTGGTGAGAACAACATAGAGGAGGGAAAGTTTATTTGGGGCTCGTGGTTTCAGAAGTTTAAGTCCAAAGATGGCTGACTCCATAGCTCTGGGCTCAAGGTAACGCAGAACATGATGGTAGAAGGGTATGGAGGAGGAAAGCAGCTCAGGACATGGCAATCAGGAAGCACAGAAAGAGAGAGTTCTGCTCACCGGGGACAAAATACAAACTCTAAGGCATGGCCCCAGTGACCTACCTTCTCCAGCCACACCTTAACTGCCTACATTTACCACCCAGTATTAGTGGATTAAAGCACTGATTAGGTCAAGGCTCTCATAACCCAATCATTTCACCTCTAAACTTTCTTACATTGTCTTGCATATGAGCTTCTGGGGGACCCACATATCTAAACCAAAACAGATGCTAAGAATCAATTACAACACCATGAAAAGACTAAGTCCATCACGGTAAAGGCATCTAACTCTGGAGACAGAGTAGGTCTCTTTTTTTTATTATTATTAGTTGTTCAAAACATTACAAAGCTCTTGACATATCATATTTCATACATTTGATTCAAGCGGATTATGAATTTCCATTTTTACCCTATGTACATATTGCAGATTCACATCGGTTACAATAAGGAGGTTACATGTGAATTCCAACTGAAGGACAAGAGGGAGGTTCAAAAAGGTAGTGAAGTGATCTTGGAGGTGGAGGATAGCAATGGCTTCAGAAGGGCCATCTGAAAATAAAAATGGAATGAATAATAACACTAAATAGTTTCCTAATTTCCCTGATGACTACAGTATGTTTGGGGTGTCTGCACTATTCCTTGAATGCGTGTTCTATAGGTGCAGGAAATGTGCTTCTTCTTCCTCTGCTACCACCACCAGAGAGAGCTAATTTGGTTGGAGGGGTCTTTGCAGTGTGCTTCTCTTCCACCCTGCATCAAAGCACATTGAGAGAGAGCAGAGCTGTGCTTGTCATGTGGCTGCACCTCTGGGATTGTCCAGTGCCACTAGAGTAGCTCCTGGGAGTCTAGTCTGCTCTACCTCACCTGCATTGCTTATGTGCAAATTGATATCATCACATCATTGTTCAGGGATTTTTTTCTAGGGAGATTTTCCAAATGAGCTTGGCATCCCTGTTCAGCCAATTTTGAATCTAAACCCCAGCTGAGGCTGTCTAAATCGGCCTTGTTGCACATACACAAGAAGCTTCAGAAAGATTTGAAAATGTCTACTTGCCCTCCCTTCTACCTGACATGGAGTTTTATTTTTATTTCTTTGTCTACTGCTTTTTTTCCCCCTTTGTTCTGGGAATTGAACCAGAACAAAGTGCTTTTATCACTGAGCAACAATCTCAGCCTACTTTTTTATTTTTTTGTATTTTATTTTGAGACAGGGTCTTGCTAAGTTGCTTAGGGCCTTGCCAAGTTGCTGAGGCTGGTCTTGAACTTAGGATCCTCTTGCCTCAGCCTCCCAAGTCACTGGGACTACAAGCATGTGCCACAGTGCCCAGCTCTTTCTATTGTCTCTTTTAAGTCAGGACTTTTAAAAAATAATTATTATTATTTTGGATGTACTTATGTAGTGTGATATGTAGTGGGGTGGATTGTGATAATTTGATATGTGTATATAATATGTATATAATGTGTAATGATCAGATTAGGGTAGTTAGCATTTCCATCTTTGAAACAGTCCAAAATGATTTGACCTGTACAAAATATGCAAGTTAAACAGGGTATGCAGCCTTTTTTGCAGTCTTTTTCTTTTCTGCTGGCTTCTGTTTCCAGCTATTTCTTGGTAACTATGGCCTTTTCTCCCTACCAAAGGCTGCTTCTGCTTTCTAGTCCCAACAGCCTGCCCCCCTTCCTCTCATCCACCTCCATTCTCAGCTGTCTTGGCCTCTGGTGCTGTTGCTGATTCTTCCAGCCAGTCTGCAATGCCTGGGCTTGGTACAAAGTTGGTGTCCCAGCTGCAGTCAGCTTCAACATGACTCCTGGTGAGGCTCTCCCTTCTGGAACTTACAGAAATGCCTTGCTAATCAGTATCCTTAACCCACAGTACAATGAATTTCCAGAAGCAGCTCAGGCCTTTCTCATGAGGAATATTTGCTGTGACCAGAAATAGGGAAAAGGCAGATGTAACAGGGAGGAAACGGAGAAATACATTATTGTTAGTGCCAGTCAGGATATTAAACTCAGACCGGTACCCCTTAGTCACCAGGGAAATCCAAATATTTATATGAAGAATAAAGCGGAAACCAGGGGAGGAGTGGGATAGGAAGAAAGGCTCAAATAGTCCTGTCAGGTCAGAGTCACTGTGCAACTCTTCTTAATTCTCCTCAAATCTGAGTGGGACTGAAAATTTAGCCTTTGCCATTTGCCTGCTGGATGCTGGGAAGTAAAGGTTTGCTTTCCAACATTGGAGGGTGAGAACTGCGCCCCCGCGTGGTCCTTTTTGTTCCACAGAATGGATCTGAAATTTATTATCCCATAAACAAAGAGAGGACATCAGCCTGTAAAATGTAGCCGAGTCTGGTTTTCAGAGGGAAGACCATGGGCATGGCCTCTTGGAGCCCCACAGGAAGCCTTTGCATTCCACTCACAGGAACCCTGGCGGGAACTGCAAACTCTTTCTGAGGACTCCAATTGTGTCACTGCCGGCAGAGACCAGTCTCTAGAATCTTCAGTGTCCTGACCCCTCCTTTCAGTGTCCTCTAAGGCCCCGGCGGAGATGCCTTCTAATATTAGTTCATCTCATTCCTCTATGAAGAGAAAAGTCACTATGACAAGTTTTTAGCAGTTTCAATGGGAATTAATGTCTCACTTTTCCCTACAGAGCAATGGCATTTTAAAAGAGGACCCAGAGGGAAAGAGACCCAGACTCTAGAGTTTAATGGTAGAAGGTCAGACCCTCCAGCATTCTTAAATATGGCAGCTCCCTTCTCTATGGCTGCTCTGTGACACCTTTTTAAACATTTGGCAAAGTCATCCAACAACAAGCCCTGGAAAACATTATTCTTTCCCATTAGTTACTACATAGGCAGGAATAGAACCAAATCAACACAAGACCAGCACTAACAAGACCAGCACTCACTTTTGGAACAACACCACGACTTAAGGAAAACATCAGTTAATCAGATTTTCCAGTAAACGGACTGGAGGAACTTCTTAGATTTTGAATCAGATCAGTGAACTCAGACTTTATCGGTTCCACCTATACATTGCCTGTATAACTCTCCCTGAAGACTCCCCAAGTGCTCTTCAGACTCCCCAAGTGCTCTTCAGAGTGGGACTGGTTGGGAATGCTCAGTAGGAACCCAGCTGGAGGACAAATGTGGTTGCATTCCCAGGGTGGTAATCTATCCCGCCACCCAATGCCCAATGACTCACTTCCTGTTTTTATGTCTTCTCCAGGCTGTGAGCTGAAAAGGAAAGCTACTCAGCCTTGGAATCTGTTGTTAAAATATATTTAACAACAGTCAGAAATGTTATAGATTTATTGAGTCGTATCCTTTTCCCATACAGAAATTGCTTTTGCTCTGAACTTTATTATACTTTGTATGTTGCATTATTTTTCATAGTTTCTTTTCTGCTGAGTAGTTTTCAATGGGACACACACACATACACACACACACACACACACACACACACACACACACACACACCATACACAGTACAAGATAGTAATTGACTGGAAGCAGAGCAGGCAGTGTTGCTCCCATACACATCTTTTAAAAAAAAAAATTCACTTTAATTATATTCTTCAAAATGTCTTTCGAAAAGCCTAGGCCATAGGATCACAGTATCAACTAGTATATAAAAATGTGCCCGGGTGTTTTAATTGCTATAGGTGACTGGGTATTTCTGAATCCAAATGAAAATGGTTTTTGATCTGAAAATTAAACATTTCTTTTTGCAAGTAAAGGTGACTTCTGCAAGTATTTTTCAGAGAATTCTTACTACTTTTTAAGGGTTTTGTTTATCGAGGAGGGAGTGTTGCTTTGTTGCCTAGCTGGTCTCCCAACTCTGGACCCATTTGAACGCAGGGCCTTGGGCTTGCTGGGCAAGTGCTGAGCCCCACCCCCAGCCTCCCTTCATTGTTAGGTACAAAAAAAATAAAGCTTTTTTTTAAAGTCATCATTCTCATTGTTTCATGTCTTAATGTATGCTATAATAAATGGGTGAAGAAAGTATAATGTAAATATAATAATTAATGTTTTTAAAGGTAAGAAATGGAAGTAGTAGCAGTTCACCACTACTTGGCAAGTATTGTGGAACTCTGCAGCCAAACCCCATCTTCTCTCAAAACAATGAACTGTATCTACGATTTAAGAGCAATAATATAATTTCCAGTCATGGATATGAAATTATCTGGGCCTCATCACCCTCTGGTAAGACATCTGCCCTTTTGGGGGCAAAGCAGTTGTACATAAAGCTAACATAAGGTGTCTAATAGAAAAGCACAATTAAAGTGACCTTCTCTTTTTAGCTATCTATGTATTTCATGATTTCCTGTTAAAAACAGAAATTGGAAACAGTTGAGATATTTAAAAATTCTATATTTATTCACTATTTCTATGTAAAAGAATATATATTTACCTATAAAGAATATAGAAGGTGTGAAAATTTTTTAATTCCTACATAAATTCTGTTTTGTCAGAATTTTTGCTTTTGGTTTGGTCATCACAATGTCCTCTAAGAATTAAAATGAAAAAGCCAAATGGCTTTCACATTCTCGAGCACATGTGAGCAGCTGTGCTCTTCATAGTCCCTGTGGCTTATGGGCTGTCCTGTAGTTAATTGCTTTTTTCAGGGTAGTAAGTATCTTCTTGTATTTTCGGTTGGCTGGTTATTAAACAACCGAAGGAAATTTAAGTAATGTCAATACAGGATAACTCAAAAGCAGAGAAACATCTTTGTGAAATGTCCGGAAAACCTTCAAAATAAAAATGATAGAAAGAGCCAGGCACAGTGGTACATGCCTGCAATCCCAGTGGGTCAGAAGGCTGAGGCAGGAGGGTTAGCAAGTTCAAAGCCAGCCTCAGCAAAAGTGTGCTTGAGACCCTGTCTCTAAATAAAATACAAAATAGGACTGAGGATGTGGCTCACTGGTTAACGATCCCTGAGTTCAATCCCTGGTAACTCCCCTACCCCATCAAAAAAAAAAAGATGTAAAGACTCATTTTAAATATGCTGAGGGGTAAGAACAGGGTTCTATCAAGACAATCATGGATAATGAAATCTTTGCAACTTAAGAAGGTTTAAAGACTATCTCCAAAGTACTAATTTTATAGGTGAGGACAGAAAACACTAAGATTAATGTGTTGCCCCAAATGCACAGCTAGACTGTGGCAAAGGGGGACAGATGCCAGCTCAGGTGCTTTTTGGTTATGCCAGGCCATTTCTTCTGGATCCCCCTTGGCTATCCAGCCTAACTAGTGATAACTCTGGTTTACAAACAAACAAATCAAATAAATCAACACCTGAAAAAAAAATTTTTAAAAAAATAAATAAATACCTGTGCCTATGGAGTTTGACTTTAAGTATGTCAATCTCAAAACTGTCAGTTATTATTTTGGCAAAAAATCACTTTTCTTGTAAAGTGATTCATATCAAAAGCTACAATACCATAGTTTGCATTCAGCTCATAATTTTCCTTTTTTATATTTCTTTTTTCCTCCAATTTATTCATTAGTTAATTTTGAACTTGTACCTTATCATGATACATAATAGTGGGGTTTGTTGTTATATGTTTGTACACACCAACAATAGAACATTGTAACTTGGTCAGTTTCATTCTCTTGTACCTCCCCTTCAGAATTTGACCTTGAATTTGACTTCAATGTCATTATCTTCAACTCAGCGCATTAGGAGTGCACCATCAAAAGCACACACACGACTTCATTCTGAATTACAGTTATTCTGCCACATCATTTGTTTTTCCACGTTGTCCCTAACTTACTTTTTTCAAAGAATAGTGCTGGAGGAAGGTGCACCTGGGTCATGGAATGCAGGGAGAGGAACGTTTGTTGGGGATGGGAGAGGTGGAGGTGGCAGGAGGAAGGATGCAGCCCACAGAGGAAGGAACTAGAAGGGGGTTTGGCCTTCTACTGTTCTTGCAAAGTCTCATCCCCTTAAGATAAAAAGGTCTACTTTTCTTACACACGCACGAAAGCTGACTGGTTCTGAATCAGCTGAATCAAACTTTCTGCTGTGCTTTCCTTGCAGGCTGCGGTGGGACTCTTTATGGAGACAGTGGCTCCTTTACCAGCCCTGGCTATCCCAGCACGTACCCAAACAACACTCACTGCGAATGGACTCTCATTGCTCCTGCTGGAAGACCTGTCACCGTCAGCTTTTACTTTATCAGCATTGATGATCCAGGAGACTGCGTCCAGAACTATCTCATACTCTATAATGGGCCAAATGCCACTTCTCCATCCTCTGGACCGTATTGTGGAGCAGTGAGTACAGCAAACACTTTTAGATTCCCACTTGTTATTTTAAAATCATGATGGTAACTCAGTATAGACTCTTAAGGTAGACACATGCAAAGAACAAAGCCACAGCCTTAGCAAATTTGGTACTGTACAGTTTTCTGATTTCTATTGTGGGGGCACCAGTGCCATCTAGTGGGCACTGTGCTATAGTACTCTTTTTTTTTTTTTTTTTTTTTTTTTTTTTTTTTTTTTAACAAGTTGTTGTTTAATTTCTTCAAGATTACTCTCTTGCCCTTCAATAGACGAATGGATAAAAAAAATGTGGCATTTATACACAATGGAGTATTACTCTGCATTAAGAAATGACAAAATCATAGAATTTGGAGGGAAATGGATGGCATTAGAGCAGATTATGCTCAGTGAAGCTAGCCAAGCCCTAAA